ATAAGTTATCTGCAGTAAGTTAATACGACGTCATTTTGGGGCAGAAATTATGGTGTTTTTGTAATTTTAATTTATTTCAGGGTTATAATAGTCTTTATATTTATAATTTTTTTGAGATTTCAATACCAAAACGACGTCGTTTTGAGAATAAATGCAGATAACTTATCTGCATTAACTGCAGAAATATTTTTCCCTTTATAATTCTTAGTTTATGGGTTCGTTTTTTCTGCAGTTACTGCAGATAAGTTATCTGCAGTAAGTCCAATACGACGTCGTTTTGGGCGAAAATCATGGTGTTTTGTAATTTTAATTTATTCAGGGTTATAATAGTCTTTATATTTATACTTATTTAAGATTTCAATACCAAAACGACGTCATTTTGAGAATAAATGCAGATAACTTATTTGCATTAACTGCAGAAACATTTTTCCCTTAGTTTATTTAATTTCTATTTCTCAATTCTCACTCCCTTTTATTAGTGTTATTGGAAGGCTCATTATTTATTCAATAGAATAATTCAGAATGTATTAAAAAAATTAATATTTATATATATAATAAGTAAAATCTCTATTTACTATATTACTTTGATTATTTTTTGGTATCCTATATTACTTTGATTATATTTGTAAAAGTTTTTGCGCATTTTATGCTAATATTATTTATACAAATAAAGTACGAATATATTAAATGGAAGATATAAAAAAAAATATAAAATTATAAACAGTAAAAAAAAATCTTTTCTTTATAACTTACTGGATTGAGATTAAAAGATTATGAAATTTATAAATAAGTAAAAGAGTAATACTTAAAGGTTATTTTACTAGAAACATTTTTATATTTTCCTATTTAAGATTAACATGTATAATAAATTAAATATTTTTATTTATTGAAACTCAAAGCACTTTGTCTGTTTAAAAAATTCCAATAATTAAATAATTAAAAAAAAAAGATTAACAATTTTTTTTTATATATAAATGCGCATTATTTAGACAAAGCATATGTATTTAACTACATATAACAAATCTTATTATGTGTATGTATTATAAAAATGTAATATAATAATAAAATCTTAACTATTCAAGCATATAATCACAGAACTGCACGAAATGTAATGAATAAATTTCTAATAAACTATTAACTAACGTGATATCGAAAAAGTATATTGAAAATTAAATATAAAGAATTTTTCGATTTCACATCTGCATTTTATGTATAATTGATATTCCGAGATCAGAATTAAGCTTCTGGATGTCCTGCCGAAGCTATATATCTTCATGGATTTGTTGGTTTCGCCATTTCCATAAAAACCAGAATCAGAATTATATAACAACATTTTGCATAACCCGCTAGAAAAAGAAACCTTTTCAAGGCAACTTACCATGTGATGATTGATTTTCCTCTGATTTGCCAAACCAAGAGCCAACAACACCCTTAACCTTGTCAACTACACCTTTTCCTGGACTCTTCATACACTTTCTCTGACTTCTCATCAACAATATCTAATTTTTTATGCTCTTTTTTCTCTCGCTCTTCTTCTTTCCGTTTATGTAAAGCTTATGACATTACCTCAGAAAGTGCCTTGTCTTCTTCGCCAGGCCTTAGCTTCTCAGCCAAATAGTCCTTCATATAAACCCCTTTGTCCTCTTATTTAACTCCTCTTCTCATACAGTACGGAGGTACAAAATAATCAAAAAACTGAATCAAACCGTGAATCGAATCGAACTGTACTTAAAATAATCAATTTTTAAAGAACCAGTTCATGAACCGAACCAATTTTTAAAGAATCAACTCATGAACCGAACAAGTTTTTAAAATCAGTTCAATTACCTAACTGTTTGTGAAACGTTTTTATTATTTTATTTCTTTAATTTTTTTTATTTTCAGAATAAAATTGACCCAAACCGTTTTCGAACCAAACTGTGTCCAAACCAAACCAAATCAATTTTGAACCGAATCGAACCAAACCGAATGAACTATTTAAATCAATTTAGTTTGATTTTTTAAAAAATTCGATTCAATTCAAAACATGCACACTTACCAAAAAGTGCCTTGCAAAAGTTTGGCTGTTTGCGAAATCTTTGAGTGGTTTATCCATCCCTAGCCAGTTATCAATCCAGAGTCTCTGATGCTTAGTTGGGAGTTTTATGTATCTTAATTATATGAAAAAGCTTATTCAAGTTTAATTTTGGTGACTATTAGAAAAGTCAATTTCTATCGCTAAATGTTTGCATCCATACACAACCGTTGGTTATTTATAAGACATACTGGATCAACAAAAAATAAAATAAAATATTATATTATACAAATAAACCATTTTTTTAGTGCAATTGTATATTTATAATTTGTTGATTTTATATGCCCTTAATAATAAAGATAATAATTTTGTTATTTGTTGTTAAAGAAATATAAAAATCATTAAAAGACCTTCACTGATATTAAACATTTTAGTTGAATTAGTTCTTTATATGATATTAGAACGACCATAAAGTTACAAATTCAATCTTCACTGCCCTTATTCTATTAATAAATAATTAAAAATTGTGGAGTTTCTTTGACCAAAGTTCTTACATGATAGAACATGTTAGAAAAATATAAAAATCATTAAATAGGCCTTCATTTAATAATTTAAACCTTTAGGTGAAATAATTGCTTTGCATTTATTCTCTAAATTTTTACACCATTGTTATACCAGTAAAAAAAATGTAACTTAATCATCAATTAATAGCGTATATCAAATAATTATCAAGAGATTATTAACTACTTGAAAATAACATGATACATGTTATTACTCAATAATTAACGATGATGTGAAAATTGTACTGTGCAAGACTCTTTTTTCTATAAAAGAAGCTACAATAAAATTTTACCTTCATCTCTAAAGTTGGACATAAAACTTGTGCACCCAAACTTAGGAGGAAACGGGACAAGCAGGAAGATAAACAAAGAGCAGAAGTATAAAATGAGAAGAAAATTCAAACTAGCTACTAGAAGATGGGAAATAATAGCAAGACATTTTTTTTTTCAACATATTTTCATTATTAGATAAATAATTAGAAACTATGTGTTATCAGTAAGGGTTTGGAGGAGAAAGGAATGAACCAAAAAAATATGCTTGTTTTTTGTGATAATTCCAAGTATGTCCTTCTTACACGCTGTGTGATTGTTTATATTATTGCGAAGAGTATGCAGTCATTAAAGAGAGATAAATTGGTTTAATTACGGGAGATACTTGTCTATGTAACTGTTTTTTTGGTAAGCAATTGTCTATGTAACTTAGGTAGAAAGGCATAAATTTGGATCGGATTATTTCCATGCTTTAAAGTTTTTTTTTTATTCTAGTTAATTAAATTTCGTGATATATGATGTCCTGGTGAATGATTTGACCACACACAGAATTCCTCTCTTCGTGGAGAAGATTTTTTATGAGCCGGAACCACGGTGGTCCCTCTCCAAAAAAAAAAAAAAAAGAGGTACGAAGGGCAAAAAAATTAAAAAGAAAATGGTAGAAATGGAAGAAATTTTTTCAATTATAGAAAGGGACCATTGAATAAATGACGGGCCTGGAGCATATTATATTTTTCCCTCTTCGTGGCACTGTGTTTGTCTTTTGTTTATATATATATATATATAAGAAAATTATTTGTCCTTTTAAATGACACAATTTATATCCTTTCACTCTCACAAAGAGGTAAGATCCACACTTTTATATTTTTTTGTCCATTCTCTCTCCTCCTTTATCTATCTCTTTTTCTCACTTAAAATGATACAATTTTATATATATATATATATATATATATATATATATATATATATATATATATATATATATATACACTCCATGCAATATGCATTTTATTTAAGTCTTATTAAATAATCAAAGCTCACTTCCCATTTAATCACTCAAAAATAAAAAAATTATTAAAAAAATATATCAAAGAATTTATTACTTAATATATAACAAATTCATAGTTCTCGTTGAAACCAATTAATCATAACAAGACAAAAACTAAAATACAATTTTATAATATTTTCATCAAAAGTTGAACTCAAATTATTGGTGGATCTCTCAATTATTATTAGATTTGTGAATCATTAAATACAAGTAAATTAATAATCAAAATTTGATGTAAAACTTATATGGGTAGATTCTGGGAAAGTGAACGTCATCCTTAGCGTTATAATCAAACGTCATCCATGGCTCTGGAAGGCAAACTGAACTACTAAAGCAATTATCTGCTTCTTCAACAGATGTATTCAATTTGAATGTATTAAATTATAAATTAACGATACGAAAAAATATTAACAAACATATTACGTGAATAAAAAGTAAATATTATATAGCATAGTAAATATTAACGGTATGAAAAAAATATTTTTTGCACTATTATTATTGTTAAATTTATATAAAAATATCAGAGAAGTTCATATTTTAAATATAAAGAAGACGTCTCATTTTATATTCTTAAATACGTATCATATCGTTTACCAAAAAAAATATATGTATCATATCAATGATAAAAATATATAGTTAAAATAAAAATTAGTGTCTCTTTTATGTGTAAATTTTTTGTGTCTATAGAATATTCTCTCTTCTTTTAAGCGTAAAGTCTATTTTGGGTCCTTAACAGAAAACATGAATCCAACTTTCGTCTCGTATAAAAAAAAAGTCAATTTTTAATCTCTTTATAATTTCAGTTTTTTGAAAATGTAATTTAAAATTTTGATGAATATCCAATTTAATCCTTAAAAAAGATTAATATGAGTATTTTTTTTTGTAAGGGATAAAAGTAAGACCATATTTTTTTTGTTGAAGATACAAAATGGGCTTTACTCTTTTTTTAATTAAATCAACCCTAATTATTTTTTTTAAAGTGAGTTGACTATCTGATATATCCACAAACTTCAATTATTTCTATAAGATTAATCTGAAGGGCATGTGGGATAGAAATAAAGATATATAAATTCAAAACAAAGATAACATAAAAAAATGGAACCGGCTGCCTTGAGCTACCAGTTCTATAGAATAATCTATGGTTTCACATCTCACATCAATAGCTCCTTTCTTCTCTTTCATTCACTTGCTACTTTTTTCTTGGCAAATCTGAACCAAAGGGACAGAGAATTGTTTTTTTCCAAAAAAAACCAAACAGATCCTGAGAGAAGACAGTTAGAGAAAATGAATATCCTTTGCCCTGAAAGTGTTTCAGCCAAGTGGAAAAGAGTGATCATCAGAGAGCTTCTTCAGGGGCAGAAATCTGCTACACAGCTCAAGGTTCTACTTGAGAAACCCTTTGAGGATGATGGGTCTTTCTCCTCTGAAGAACTCGTGACCAACATACTGAGATCTTTCACAGAGGCTCTTTCTATCATAACTTCTTCCTCAGAACCCGGTTGTGGTGGCGAGGTAGCTCATCAGAATCTGCTGAATTCCGGCGAAAATGGGACTCCATTTACGTCTGGAGATTCCGGTGAGAGTAGGAAGAGATCCTCGCCGGCAAGAAAGGTTGGGAGAGGTTGCTACCAAAGAAGGTTATCTTTTATCTATTCTCTTTATGATGAATCTTCTGTTTTACTTCATTGACATATTTTTTAGTTCACTTCCTTACCCAATAAAGCCTTGTTTTGTTGACGATTAGGGTTAGTGGGATGATTTGATGAATTGGGATATGTACGGATGTACGGACAAATATAGAGTAGCTTTGTTATAATGGTTGAAAATCACTTTTTTTATGGAAAAAAGAAAAAAAAAAAGTTGAAGCTTTGAGATTAACTTGGACTATAGCTTGATGATATTGATATATATATATATATCAAGAATTAATGGAGTGAATCGTATAAGTTGAATTTGATTAGTTTAAGAGATTATCAAGTGTTGAGATCCATCTGTGGGTTTTTTTTTTTCATGCTTGCTGTGAAATATTTGACAGATTCGAAATGTTATTGTATGTAGTATAGTAAATGAAACGATGACATGCATGCGACATATTGAATTGTTGTTGTGCGCGCAGGAAGGGTGCACAGACAAGAACCACACTCTCCAACACCACCGATGATAATCATTCATGGAGGAAGTACGGACAAAAGGAAATCCAGAATTCTAAATTCCCTAGGTATGGTAATTATTAAAACGCCCTTACCTAACAGCTTAAGCTTTTGGATTTAATTGGTTCTTTATATAGTATTAAAGCTTTAATGACCACAAAGTCACGAGTTCGATAAAAGCACATCATTGCCCCTTACTTTCTATTGGAATTAAATAAAAGCATAGAAAGGTAAACCAAAAATTGGACCTATACAATATCCATATTTCAAGCCCAAAAGGCTCTTACATAAGGGTGTGTTAGAGATTTACGTTTTTGAGTTGAATTGATTTTTTACGGTAATCATTATTTATATTTTTATTTATCTTTTAATTTTCTTTAGAAAGATATTCTGAGATGGTATATACCTATACATGATTTACACACAATATTTTTGTATCTCCGAAGAAAAAATGCTGATCGACAGAGTGATCTGCTGTAAATAGAAATTTCATATTAGAAAAATGACTGTAATAAGGTTAGAAGTGAAGAGTCTCTCACTCATATCAAAAGTAGATACTGAACTCAAACAGATGCTGTTAGAGGGCTCATATAGCAGCAACCAACTTAAAAACTTGCTGAAAGTTGAGAATACCATTTAGAACTTAACGAAGACACGTGAAAAAGACATTCTAATTTATTAGTATTGATCAGTACTGTGTAATAAGAGTGTAAGTTCTGTAACTTTTTGCGATTTTTGTTTTAAAAGACTAGTCATGTAACTCACATTGTTATTAATAATTTGCAGGAGTTACTTCAGGTGCAGTAGCAAGTATGATCAAGGTTGTAAAGCAACCAAACAGGTGCAGCTGACACAAGAGAATCCTGATATGTACAAAATTATGTACATTGGCATTCACACATGTAAAGCCACCCCCAAGGCTACACATTTGGTCACAGATTCTAGTACTTGGGAATCTTTTATTCTGAATTCTGATCCTGACTCAAACATACCAAATGAACAGGATCACCATATTAGCTCCCCAAGCCTAACTAAAAAACAAGAATATCCCAAAGAAAACAATTCGAGTGATGTTACGGATCACGAGTTGGATCCTAGCCTGTTGTCCGATTTGAAGGATTCAGAACCCTCCAAGCCTGTCATTATGCCTTTGAAAATGGAATCTGTTAATGCAGATTCATGTATAGTTTTTCAACATTTGGACATAGATTTCGAGGTGGAGTCCGTTCATCTTGCCACTGACTTCCACTTTGATGAGAATCAGTTGCTTTGATGCTTCCGTTAGATTCCTAAGATTAATTGTTTAGATTAGGATTTTGATCATCTCATTTTTCTTAATAACATGATTGTGATGTGTTTTGAGAGAAAAAAAAATGTTAGTTTTTTTTTTTTTATTGTGATTGTGGGATTGAATCAATCGTAGTTTTTCTTATTTTAATAAAATTAAGCTAATTTATGATCTATATGAGCTACAGTATAAAGCCTATTTAATCAGGTGTTCTTTTGATTTGGATTTGGATATTTCTAATTCACCATAGGCCCATGATGGGAATGGGATTAGGGTTAACGGTTTGACTAGATCTCCTCTGTATTAATAGTATCTTGGGAAAACAGTTGCTCACAACTTACCCGATGAACATTTGTAATAAGGGGTGTGGTGTGAATGGTAGAGGAAGATTCTTTTTCTTTAATCTTTGCAGGAATATCAAAGAGCAAGCATGACAATATTTGAGATTTCAAGAATCATGTCTTCGACAAGCAAGTAAGCCTAAATTTTTTGGTATTCTAATTTCATATAATCTCTATTATGCGATTTTTTATAAAATAAAAATAAAAAATTTACAGTTTCTCTGCGTAGGGACTAAACTTACCCGTGCAAGGTTTCGTCCTTGATGCACGAAAGTATTGTTTTCTCTCTCTTACAACTATAACACTTTCATGTTTTTATGAAAAATGAAGGATACAAATACTATAAATTTAGATATTGGGTTTTCGTTTTTCTCAGTTTCCTCTTCTGTGAAAGTGTGTCACTTTGACCATTCTCAGTTGCGTTAATAATTAATCAATCTGATGGGATATATGTCTGTATGTGCTTTGAAAAAAATTGTGAATAAATAACACGGTCTAAGCCAGCTTTTATGGGTATTGTCTGTTGTGTATGCATAGCTTGCCTTTTATTTTATTTACTTTGAAGTCATGCGTGAGTATATAGAATCAATAACGTCCTTAAAATTTGATGGAAAGGAGTGTGAGAGTGGATGTAGGAGTGTATTGCCAAAAAATTGAGTACAAGGATATATATATATATATTTATATATCCGTATTAGAGATGAAAGTATGTGTTCGGTTGGCGTATGGTGGGATGAAAGTATGTGTTCGGTTATTTTCGATATTATTTTTCATAGGAGTTTAAAGTTTAATCATGTCTTCGCTCCGGATAGAATTACTTCCCGTGGGATACAATAGTGGTTTATCCACACACACAAAAAATTGTTGCACTGTTGGAAAGGAGAACCCCAACAGTCGTGCTCACAAGTTGGCTGGGAGGATAGGGGGTTCGACAAGCAGATATTCCAGGAAGTCCAGGGGTTCTCACGTGGTATATGGCTATTTTGGGATTCTCAAACCTTTGGATGTCAAGCTTCGGAGAGGGGACAACCACCGAAGTGGCCACCAAAGTGGGAAGTGTGTCCTTGATTACATTTGTTTATGCCAACCAACGGGATTTCCATGAAAGCTTTCCCATGGGAAGAATTACGCAGTATTAGCCATGGGATTAACAAACCATTTGTAATATTTGACATGGCTTTTATTATTTAGTATTCCATAACTTTTACTCCTTTTTACTCAATTTATAATATTTGACATAAAATTTATAATTAAAAATAAAAATAGATTGTCACTTTTTTATAACATAAAAGTATCAAATGAACCCCAAGAATCAAACGTTAAAGTTTCGCTATATAACAGACATGACAACCGGAAACCACTATCATCGTCGTAATCAACCGGAAATCTTCTCCCTTTGCCTCTGTTCCTTTGCATTCGTCTCTTTCTTTCTTCTCTGTTTCTCTCTTTCTACCTAACCCATCAAGCATCCATTGCTACCTTATCTTCTATATATTACAAAAGAGAGCAACAACCAAGAAATGTAAAAAGTATGGGTTTAATGTGTCACAAAAGTGTGTAGGATTCGTGTGAAGAGAAAATACAGAAAAAGAAAATATGTTCCACATATTTTTATATGGGTGTAGCAGATAAAAATTATCTCCTAGAACATCAGAAATATCAAACCCCAAAAAAATTGACCTCTTTGTGTTTTCACTTTCTGGCTTAGTAATTTATTCCAGCAGCCCATCTGATCCGATCAGGTGAAAACTCATTTATGACCCTCACTTCTATTTTCTGTTGATAACTGACCAGTTACCATTCTCCGTTATTGTTAATAACCTTTGGTTCTGTTTCTTGCATAGCTTTCCGCTGTACATGTTAATAATGTTCCTTTTGTTGAGCAAAAACTTGTAAATCTAGCTGCTTCATTATATATTGTCTTGCACTTTTATCTATCTATTTATCTCCTAGTCCTAGTGTTTGTCAGTAGACTTGAGATTAAAAGTTACATATAATAGAAGTTACGAAATTTTATTTTCTTTATAGCTTACTTGATTTAAATTAAAAGATTAGGAAATTTATAAGGGAAATATGTCTATCCTGTAATAGGAGAGAGTTTTTTATCTCAAGCATAGACAAAAAAAATCGTGAGACCCATTAGAGTTAAAAAAAAAGGATGAAATAGCTTTTGATGGGTCTGTCGTCTGTCTGAGAAAAATATTCTCTCCATCAACATGGGAGTTATTTTTTCTAATTTTATAAATAAGTAAAAGAGTAATACTTAAAGGATATTTTATTAGAAACATTTTTATTTTTTCCTATTTAAGATTAACATATATAATAAGTTATATAATTTTTTTTATTGAAAATTAATGCACTTTGATTGTTTAAAATTTTTCAAAAATTAAATAACTTTTTAAAAATAAAATGATTAACAAACTTTTTTATATATAAATGCGCATTATTTAGACAAAGCATCTGTATTTAACTACAAATAAAAAATCTTATTATGTATATGTATTATAAAAATGTAATATAATAATAAAATCTTAACTATTCAAGCATATAATCACAGAAGTGCACGAAATGAAATGAATATATTTCTAATAAACTATTAACTATCGTGTTATTGAAAAAGTATATTAAATATAAAGAATTTTTCGATTTAGCATTTGCATTTTATGTATACTTGATATTCCAAAACAAACAAGTGTCGGCGATGGCTTTTTAGTTTTATCTATCTTAATTATATGAACAAGCTAATTCAAAAAAGTCTAAATCTATCGCTAAATATTTGCATCCATACGCAACCGTTGGTTATTTATAAGACATACTGGATTAACAAAATAAACTAAAATAAATTAGATTATACATATAAACCATGTTTTTAGTGCAATTGTGTATTCATAATTCGTTGATTTTTAATTTCCCTTAAGAATAAAGATAATAATTTTGCTATTTGTTGTTAGAAAAATATAAAAAATCATTAAAAAACTTTCACTTAAGATTAGGGGTGTGCAAAAAAACTGGTTCACTTGCCCTGCCCTTGATCCGACCTTGACCCGACCTATAAATACCCATATTTTTTGAACTGGTTTAAATACTGACCCACTTTTATTTGGGTCAGTTTTAGACCTGACTCGTTTTAATATTGACCCACTGACCCAAAACTTGACCCATACCCATTATGTGAAAAAAGAAAATCACAATTACATTAAAAGAAAAATTTTAACGTAAAACAATTACGTCAAAATTTTTTATGCAAAATATTTTCATAAAAAATTTCGCAAAAATTTTTGACGAAAAATATTTTCATCAAAATTTGTGACTAAAAACATATCAGTAAAAAAATTTGACGGAATATTTTTTTTGTCAAATTTTTTTACGGAATCTAAATTTCGTCAAAATATTTCACAAAAATATATATTCATAAAAACTTTCGACGAAACACATTTTCATCGAAATTCTTTGACGGAAAAAAATTTCATCAAAATTCTTTATAGATTTCAAATTTCGGCGAAAGTTTTCGACGGAAACATTTTCGTTAAATTTTTGACAAAAAAAAATTTCGTCGAAATTTTTAGCGAAACACATTTCTATCAAAAATTTTCGACTAAATATTTTCGTCAAGTTTTTTGATAAAGAATATATCCATCAAAATTTTTAACGGAACACATTTCTGTAAAAAAAATTCGTAAAATTTTTTGACAAAAATATTTCGATAAGAAATTTTGACAAAAAAAATATTTTGTCTAAATTCTTTAGAAAATCTAAATTTCATCGAAAGTTTCAAATGAAACATTTTCCTCAAAACAATTTCCATTGAAAATTTCGACGAAACACATTTCCATCAAAAAATTTCGACGGCAAAAAATTTCATTAAAATTCTTTACAGATTTCAAATTTTGGCGAAAGTTTTCGACGAAAATATTTTCTTCATCAAAAAATTTCGACGGCAAAAAATTTCATCAAAATTCTTTACAGATTTCAAATTTTGGCGAAAGTTTTTGACGGAAACATTTTCGTCCTCAAAAAATTTTGACGGCAAAAAATATCAACGGCAAAAAATTTCATTAAAATTCTTTACAGATTTCAAATTTTGGCGAAAGTTTTCGACGGAAACATTTTCGTCATCAAAAAATTTTGACGGCAAAAAAATTCATCAAAATTCTTTACAGATTTCAAATTTCGGCGAAAGTTTTCGACGAAAAAATTTTCGTTAAATTTTTTGACACAAAAATTTTCGTCAAAATTTTTAGCGAAACACATTTCCGTCGAAAATTTTCAACTAAATATTTTCGTCAAGTTTTTTGATAAAAAATTTCCATCAAAATTTTCAACGAAACACATTTCTATAAAAAATTTCCGTAAAGTTTTTTGACAAAAAAACATTTTGACGAAAAAAATATTCTGTCAAAATTCTTTAGAGAATCTAAATTTGGTCGAAAGTTTCAAATGAAACATTTCCCTCGAAATAATTTCCGTCAAAATTTTCGTCAGAACACATTCTCATCGAAATTTTGAACGAAAAACATTCCGTCAAATTTTTTGACAAAATTCTTTTTTCGTTTAAAATATTTGATGGAAGAAATCATTTTCGTCAAAACTGTTGATGGAAACTAAATTTCAATAGAAAATTTTTTTTTTTTTGTAAAAATTTCGACGAAAAAATAATTTTCTGACGAAATTTTCGTCTTTTGCAACGTAAAAATTTCGACAAAACTTTGTGAGAAAACCAAGTCAAAAACAGGTCAGGTCAGATTTGACCCAGTTCAGAAACCAAGTCAGACCCACTCCAGAAACCAAGTCAGGTCAGATCCAAAATGGTTCTGAACTAGTTCAATAAAATCCAATCCAAGTTAGACCTGACTTGGATCAAATTAAAGCGGGTCGGGTCAAACTACCTGACCTATAAAAATCAAGTTGGGTCGAGTCGGACAAAAACCTGACCCATGCACAGCCCTACTTAAGATATTAAAGTTTTGGGTGAATTGAATCTTTACACGCTATTAGAGTCTCTGTACTTATAGGATTACGAGTTCTATCCTCATCATCTCCATTCTTTAAATAAATAATCAAATATTATGGAGTTTCTTTGCATTGAAGCTCTTATACGAAGTAATGTGTTAAAAAAATATAAAAATCATTAAAAAATGCTTTCATTTAATAATTTAAACCTCTAGGTGAAATATTTGCTTTGCATTTATTCTCTAAATTTTTACAACATTGTTATACCAGTAAAAATGTAACTTAATTATTAATTAATAACGTGTATAGAATAATTATGAAGAGATTGTTAACTATTTAAAAATAGCATGATACATGTTATTAATCAATAATTAACAATGATGTGAAAATTTTAGTGTGCAAGACTCTTTTTTCTATAAAAGAAGCAACAATAAAATTTTGGAAAAAGTTCAAATTTCCACGTGCTTTTCTTTTAATCATTTATTTTCATGTGTTTTTTTTTTTTTCATTTAAGTCTTTTCTTAGGGTGTGTTTGGTACAAGTTTTATTTTGGGTTTGATGGGAAAGTGTGGGTGGGTATTGAAAAATATCATGTTTGGTTCAAGGTTTTGGAAAAAAATACTAGGCAAATAGGAAGGCTAGGAAACGACTTTGGTGTTAATTTTTGTGTGAAATTCACTCTTACAAAATATCACTTGAGATACG